TTTATTTATACAGATAAGGTATATACATGAAAAGAATACTGCACACATAGTCAATATAGTAATTACCCTGAGAAAGGAGAAAGGAAGGGAATGAATCAAAGTAAATTTCTAACATCTTTATAAACGTTAATGCCCACAAAAGAAGAAGAAAAGAAGACGTATAGGCCCAGAATTAGATAAGAGGTAACCAAGAAAATTGCAGCTGTATTTCTGTAGCTGTGTCTCTAGACCATCAAAATTTCCCATTATGGTTAAACATTCTTGAAGCTGCATCTAAGTTCTTGCTGTATCAGAAAATAAAGCATCAAGGCATTTTCCCAATGACCATGAATGAATACTGATGAAGGATCTGAGTCCTCAAAAGACCATAGCATCATTAAACATAATGTGCACTCTATCTTCCCCCTTAGGGATTTTCATTAAGATCAGAGATTAAGTACCTTAAAATGGAGATCCAGTCCACCATGATCTGCTAAGGGGAAAAAGCAAAAGGATCACATTGGTCCTACGAAAGTGTCATTCACCTCCTAAATATTCACAGAAATGTTCTAGAACACAGAATGTTCTAGACAACATTCTATGTTCCACAACACAGAATCCAATGGGCTGTCCTTCTCCCTGTGGGCCAATCTACCCAAGGAGGGTACTCTCCTTTGCTTTGCTAAATAAACTTTTGATTGAATGAACTGTGTCAATGGGCTGAATTCTTTCTGTCAAGAACATAAGACCCAAGTAAAAAGCTTCATCTGGCATGACATGGACTCTAATGTGGAATTTTGTAACTTTGTCTTTTGAAAATTTAAACTTTTCATAATTGTTATCTTTTATTTTTAAGATTTTCATATAAAATTTCCAAGGTATTATTTTATGTCCCTCATTAACTTATTATAGTTCAATATAAATTCTCCTGCTAACCCATAACTTGACTTATGATTTAATATATGTGACTATAATGTGAAACAAATGAATAACTAAGAATAAAAAGTATGTAAAACAATACAATGGTCACAAAAACCACTCAATTTGCAGTGATAATTACCCCCAAGCGCCTGAGTCATGAACAGGCACTTCTGATCAACACTGATTGATGGCCCTGCCAAGATGATCCCTAACTGGAGGTCTTCAATAGATTCAGTTCTCAAGGAACGAGGTCAGGAAACCAAGCCTACCTACCGCCCTTGCTTCTAGTTCAAGCACACAGTTAATGTGAACAAGTCAGTTTTCTGATGAGGCATCTGCCTTTTCTGTCTCTGCATTGCCCAGGACTGAAAACCCAGATAATAAATGTCAGAGTGGTCTTAAAGGCATCTGTCCGATTTTCTAGTCTGAAGTGGTATGCTATCTCAGGAGAAAACAGGACATGGAAGTTAAAGTACAGGACACAGGATGGTCACACATCCTAAAAAAGTACTTATAGAAAAAAATTAGTTGTTTTGTATATTTACCATCTAAACTTGAACCCCATGAGCTGGAACAAAGACAATGAGGATAAGTGGTAAGTGTACCCCTGGCTGGGACCACTGCTGCCCCCAAGAGTCCACTCAGCTCTGTGTTCATGTGTAAGAAGGCACAATCAAAGCCTCTGAGCATAGTCAGGTAGAAGCTTCCCAACCAGAAGAGGTGAGGTAGAGCTCCACTAAGAAGGTGTTAATGGTTGGAAAAGAATGGTGGAAGATGGGGTCATGACTTTTTGAACACCACAGATCCTTATGACCAGAGAAAGGAGAGCTGGCTTAGCTGCTGGGTGGGAATACCATTACTTTTTATACACAAGATTGGGATATGACATGAGGACTATTTTCCAGAAGGAGAAGATGCT